TCTAAGCATTGATTAATGCCTGGTTTTAAAATGAACTAACTGGACTTGTAGCCCTTATTTTGGACACCACATGGCACGACGAACCCGATTGAACCGTTATACCTAGGATTTCTGTCGGCTAATGTGTCTCTCAGGTTTTGAAAATGGGCCGACAATCGGCGACAACTCGTGCCGTGTGCGCTGGACATTACACTAAGGAAATGAGGAAGGGAGGGTCAGTGGAGAACTCCGGAGTTGAGCCTTTCTTCATTCAGTGTCATCAAGAGAAAGAAAAAAAAAGCAGGAAGATAATTATAATTAAAATGAGGTCGATAGGTTTAATTTATCTTGCGATTAATTGATTTATCGTTTATTGCGACAGGCCTAACTAGGAGTAAATTAACAAATGATAAAAAGCTAACATGTGTTTTAAGCTAATTAGTTGCTTGTAGCGACACTTTAGATAATAAAGTGTGGTTTGGTTTGGCCTGATTGGTTTTAAACCTCTATTTTCAGGCCTTTTCTGTTCAGTGAAGGCCACAATTCAGTGAGCCACACTCTTTGGTGTGGATGTTGCTACTGAGTAAAAGTGACTCAACAGTTAGTTTTTTTTCCAATGTCAGCAGCTGGTTCAAAACTCAAGTCAGGAGATGTAAGAAGCTATTTTCTAGGACATGTGTCTTTTGGAAATCTCATCGTTGGGACGAAGACCAACATATAGAGAATACACACCGAGACTGGCAGCAGCAGCTACGTGAATTAGCAATAAAAGATGCTACTGACAAACCTAAGACATGTTTGCTGTTCCTTCAGGCTGCGAGACAGTAAGAGAGAGCAAGACTCTCTACCAGATAAGAGGTCGGTTGAAGTAAGACAAAGTTGCTCTATTTTATATTAGTAAAACATGTAAATGCGAGAAAAAAACCTACATGCAATTTACGAGATTAAACAATACTTAAAACCTGTGGTTTACGCCTTCAAGCCCAACTTACATTTTCTTGAATGAATTCAAGACATTTTAAGGCCTTAATTTTAGATTCACAAATTAAAGACTTCTTAAGGATGCCCTGCTGGAAATCAGGAAAGCTGGAAAACCTGTCAGCGCATCTCAACAACCAACATCCAAAGTCTTATCTACGGACTCCGCTTACCGAACAGCCATCCGAGATGGCCTGGAGGAACGGGTTGTTGTCGAAAGACATCTCCTCGTCGTTGGCACCCAGGAAGCGCAGCGCCTTGTCGTGGCTGTCGCTGGCCGCGTCGTGCCACGCCACAGACTGGTGGCAGCTGTAGGTGAAGTTTTGCCTGGCTGAGGCGGTCAGTAGTCTGAGGAAGGTCATCTGTACCATGTTGATCGAGTTTCCGTCAGCGTCCACGTAGGAAAACTGTCAGGGAGGGAAAGGAAGGAGAAGAGCACGAAAAGTAGGGGAGGGTTTTATGTTTAGCATAATGTAATAATTTCATTCAATAAATGTAATAATCAAATGTAAATAAATGTAATGTAATAACTACATTTATTGTATATTCTGTACAATAATCAATTAAAGATTTTCACTCAATCAGGCAGGTGTTTATTGTATATTTTTGGTAAAGCTTATGCATAAAAAAATTAAATAATCACAGTACCTGTTTTATAAATAACATTGCAATTGTAATATTCAATGTTATATTAGTTCTGTAGCAATAGGGTTATTAGGTTTAGCTTCTCTATTTGCAACAGATAAATAAAATCAGATCTTTTCCATCGTTAAGCTTTTGCATAGACACTAAAGTATGTATAGGTAGTTTTTTTTTTAAAAACTCAGTTTTGTCTCCTTTTCAGGAGATTTTGGCCGTTTGATTTATCATCCTCTCTGATAAAAATGTCCCTTAACTAACTATTTATATAAAAAGCTAAGGATCACTAAAGTTACTCTTTTGGACACAGAAAAAAACTATTCGGATGCCTTTCATGTTTTGCTGATTTGTTTCAAAAAACACACATTTTCATTCAAGACTGAATAAATTTAAAACAGTATGTTTGTCTCAAAATGCTTCTGGTGAACCAGTGTAACTGGTTGTTAGGGGTTACTACAGGTATTAACTACAGGTATTAAAAGTACTTCAAGTTCAGTGACTACATGAACATAAACATCCAACCTCATATTTTTCCTACAGAAACACATAAAGCTGTAAATCGGTCCGATGGTGAAGCTCAAACTCTGACTTTCATTATGAAAAAAGAGACATTACTGTATGAAAACCTGACAGAAGCTTCTAATAAACTCAAACTAAAGTTCTGACTGCAGGGACTGGGAGAACGCAGACAGAACCCAAGAGACGAGGTGAGGACCGGAGTGTGGTGGGAGACGGGTGAAAAACAGAAACACTCACTATTTTACCCCGCTTGAATTCACTGAACCATGAACCTGGAGTCTCCTTAGGCCACGAGGATATTCTGACCTGCAGACAACAGAGCAGAACATCGGCGTGTGGAGTCATCATGGGTAATATAACCTGCACTCAGTCATGAACAAAACATGAAAACAGTATAAAAGCGAAACCTCTGGGGTAAAATCACAGCTTATTATTCAGGAAAATAGAGAAAGTTTTCTGTGCTTTTCTCTATGAAATAATAATATAAAAAAACTTAATGCCAGAGGACTTTTGTGGTATTTTGCAAACATTCAAATGCTCCCAAAAGTTTCTCCAAGCCGAAACAAAACCTTCTTTGGTAATTACAGTGCAGCATGAAGGTCTTAAAGGAAGGAAATCAGGAGTTTCCTAATGCTATGTTTATTTTACTAATGCAAAGTCGCTTACCCCATTGGACTTTTTGTCCGGATAGATGCAGGTTTCACCCCCAGCAGTGAAGTTACAGTAGACTTTGAATGAATCCCCAGAGCAGCCTTGGTTGGGATCAATCCAGTACTCACCTGAAGAGAACGGAGGAAAATCAATTTGAAGTCATTTCTTGACATCACATATTTAGTAAAAAGGGACAACAATTTTCTTTCTGGTGATTAATATTTTTTTTAAATATTGTTCACAGAGACCTCATAGTCCATTTTGTCTATAGTTTTGTTACTGTGCGGTTTTTATTTCTGTTT